TGTGGGAAACAGTGTCAGAGGCTTTTCTGAAGATCAGGTAGACAACATCTGCAGTGTATGGATGGGAAGCTTTGTTGTGCTTCCCCCTGTGCTGCATGAGCAGGAGAATGTTAATTTCTATTAGCAATCAAATGACAAAGAAAATACGGTTATTAAATTTACTGAGCAGCAAATGTTCTCTGCTCTAACAGGTGGTGATGGGGAGGGCGTAAGCAGTCTGCCTTTGCTCTCTCCCCGCGGGGTGGATATGTGAGGGTGAAGAGCTTTACTTGTCCGTGTTGTTAACCTGGGGCATGCATGATGTCTGTGCTTCTTTCCAGTATGGTGATTATGATCCAAATGTTCACAAGCGAGGCTTCTTGGCACAAGAGGAGCTGCTTCCGAAGCGGGTAAGTAGCTCAGCTGAGTTCAGGAGCAGATTTCCAAGCCTGGTAGTGCTTTGTGTAGCAAACCCCTTGGCTGCAGGGGTGTCTGTGGGGCTGCCTGCAGGGGGAACCCTGCTTGGCTTTCCCTGGCTGGCAGTGTGACCTGGGCTTTGTCTCCCCTTGTATCTCAGGTAATAAACCTGTACCAGATGACTCCGGAGATGTGGGAGGAAAGGATAACAGCCTGGTATGCAGAGCACCGAGGCAGAGCCAGGTGAGCGTGTGCTGGAGTGGTGGGTCAGAGTCAGTCCGTCACCCGAAGGGGTGTGAGGGTTTTGGGAGCTTGGGCAGGTGATGGATGAGCTCTCCTCACAGCGGGGTTAATCCCAGCTCACTTCTGTAGCAGACTCATGAAGAGCAAAGGGCTTGCTTTGCCCTAAATGAGCCCTGCTGTCCCCTGGTCCCTGACGGTAGCGCTTGAGAGAAGTTAGGACTGATGCTCAGTAAGGGGCAGCCTGGGAAGGGGCAGGGAGGCAGACAGCAAGGATCAGGGTGCTTTTTGGGTCAGGAAAAGAAACGGGACTTCAGACTGATGAGGTGTATTGCTGCCTCGGGTGGTAAAATTGTGGGGGATAAGGTGAAGCCAGATGGATCTGAAACAGTGGCCTCCCAGTCAGGGTTTTCCTATTTACTCTTAAGGGACTGGGTGATGGACAAAGCAAGGTGCAAGGTGCTGTGGCTCGCTGGGCGTCAGCGGCCTTTCAGGTGCCAGCACGCTGCAGGGCGGGACTTCATTGATGCTGCCAGCAAAGACAGACTCGACCTCTGCAGCAGAGACAGTCCAGGCTTTAAAGCCTTGTGTGTGCTTAGGATCAGAAAAAGCAGCCGTCCTCCTGTCTCTGATCCTACTGAGTCTTGTAGCACTGGCCTTTTTTTCTGTCTGACAGAGATGAAGCTGAAATGGAGTATTTGAAGATAGCTCAGGACTTGGAGATGTACGGAGTGAACTATTTTGCGATTAGGGTGAGTGCAGGTGGCGGGTCGTGTTTTCTCGCCGGCGTAGCTCTTGTGATGGTCTTCACCTCTGTGTGGCCGTGAGACCGGATGAGCAGAGGCTTGGGGAGCCGGCAGACCCGGGAGCTGGCTGCAGTGCGTTGGCGAGTCCCTGCTGCAGCCTGATTCCCCGCTGGCTGCCGGGGAGACACAAGCTCCTGTAATAGCCGTGCTGCTTGGTCACTGCTCCGGGCTGGCTGCTGAGCTCATGTCAGACCCTCCGAGTGCGATAAAAGGGTTTTCTGCTCTTTTCTTTCCTCCTGTAGAACAAAAAGGGCACTGAACTGCTCCTTGGAGTTGATGCCTTGGGTCTTCATATTTATGACCCAGACAACAGGTTGACCCCTAAAATCTCCTTTCCGTGGAACGAGATTCGGAATATCTCATACAGCGATAAAGAGGTATGGATACACCTCCCCTCTTCCTCGAGAGCAGCACGAACACAATTGCGATTTAAAGTGATTTCCCTTAGCTTCTCTGTCTGCTGTGCTTGCTGTCACCAGCTTAGCTAAGGGCAGTTCAGCTTCTCCAGGTGAAACCTTAATTCCAAGCCTTTCTGAAACCTTTCTGGGCGTGCAAGAGGTCAGCTGGGAGCTATTCTCCTGTTTGGTTTTAGAGTACGTTCAAACCTGCCATGCAATTTTCTTCAAAACCCAAAATTGCTGTTGATGTGCGTAGCCCAAATATCAAAGTTCAGAAGTTGAGATCTCTGCTTTGCTGTATGTATTACAGTATACATTACCCTGTATAGATGCTGCACTGTGAAATACAGGGAGATGTATTCCTGGCGAGAAGAGCTCTTGCCTCCTGCCATACCATTACCTCATCTTGAGTTTTCAGGCTGCTGGGCTTGGCATAACAGCTGGAAGATTTTTAGGAAGTTGAGTAATTTAAGACCACTATTGGATAGATACTTATTAAATCCAGACCATAAATATGAATCTTCTGAATCACTGGCCAACAAACCTAGTTGAGAATAGCAGTGAAATTGGCTGTGGAGGGAAAACTGATCTGCTCAATTTTCAGTCTGTGAGAGCTGCTCAAAGCAAACCGGCTGCCTTCATGGTAAGGAAGAAAATTAACTTCTTAATTAAAAAATGTTTTCCAGTCTAAACATGCTATCGATCAGGGTAAAAGCTAAAGGTTTCTCATCAGCTGCGTTTATTGCATGTCTCGTGAAGTTCTGTACGTAGCAAGGCTGTGCTGGAATTCTCTTCCCTCGTTGTGCTCCTTAACAATAGAGAGCTTCACAGCTCTGCAGAGGATCCCAGTGCTTAGTGGCTTTTGAAGGCTTTCCTGCCTGTGACAGATGAGTGCAGTGGAAGCTGTCTGCTCAGACGCTGCCTCAGAAATCTGGGGATTGAAGCCTCCATAACCAGGCCTTGACACAAGACTGTAATAGAGCTTTCTCTTGGGGAAAAGGACTCCTGCCTTCCATCAGGTCAGTCATCTGTGTAATAGGATGACCACGAGTAGACCTGACGTGATAGTAAACAGGCTTAATAGCTGGGTATGACAGTTACGTCGACACAACAGAGGGGTGTAATCCATTGTAACAAAGATTGACTGTTTATGTGGAACTGAAACTCCTCTCCTGGCATATTTCTCCTGTTGCTTCCAATGACTGGTGTGGGTTCTGCCGGAGCCCCAGTCCAGGGACACTCACGCACGTCTGCCTGTGTGAAAGTCTTAAAAGATTGGCTCTTAAACTGACAAAACAAAACACTGCCAGGGCGAGTTCTGCTGAGCCCTTTTCAGGCAGTACAATGTGTTGACAAATAGACCTACTTTAATGGACACAGCCTGCCTGCTCGAGCGCTATCTCTCCAGCCAGCTATTTTTGTAGCATGTGGGGAGTGATGGAATAGATGCATGCCCTTCTAAAAAATGCACTGCTGCGGAACCTTCCGTCTCTTCAAGTATCCTTTTGTTAGTTCAGAGTCTTCTGTTGGTCCAGGGGCTCTGTTACTGAAACTCGAGTCTGGCGATGCCACCTATATCCTCCAGAGAGACCTGCTGTGGGAAACCTCTTGGGAGGGTAAACCCAGGCCGTGGTTACAGCTGGTCGGTTGGCACACGCCGTGTAAATACAAGTTAGAGGGAGGGAATAATATTTTGAATGGTGGAGCAGTCTTGTGACATGGCTGGCTTCTGGAGAGCAAAATGCATGGAAGACCCTTACGGGGAGCCCCTGCGGCTGGAGGTGTCAATGGGAAGGACAGCAGCTCCTGTTGCTGTGTTCCTATGACCCTCCTGCCATCCATGGGGCAGCTGAGCTGGTTCTTCCTGCGTTGAGAAGTGTCCTGAGTTTCTGCTGTACCTTCTCCGTTCTCTGCAGCTGCCAGCAGGGGGTGGGAACTAGAGCATCTTTAAGGTCCCTTCCAACCCAAACCACTCTGATTCCATGATCCTGCCTTTCCTCGGGAGGTGCTGAGCTGTCGGTGCTCTGCCGAGGACACCGGCTCTCGGGCATTGCAGTCTGTAGGTGGACAGCACTCCCGTTGCAGTGTGGCACTTGGGTTTTTCTGACCGGAGGAGCAATCGTCTCCTTGGTTGCTTTTGATACTAGTGCTCTTGCTTGGCTGGCTAAAAGCCATGGGGACAGCTCTCAGCCTTGTTTGTCTGACACTGCTGACCTCCTATGAGCCAAAGCTTTCAGTAAGACTTTTATAGCTGTGTTTTTATTAAATGCACCGCTCGCTGATAACTCTCTCCCTCTTTATTTTTTCCTTTTCAGTTTACGATTAAGCCATTAGACAAAAAGATTGATGTTTTTAAATTCAATTCATCAAAGCTGCGTGTGAATAAGCTGGTAAGCCTACAGACAGAGTAATTTTTATTGCCTGCAGCAGTAGTTTCTGCCAGCAGTGCGAGACAATGTTCTTTGGTGCTTTTCTTTCGAGCAGTCAGAGGGAGCGTGCTGGCCTGTAGATGTGATTGGGTATAGCAGGTACTACTCGGTTGTAGTCCCTAGAAGGGTTGGGGGAAGCTCAAGTCAAGCTTCAAAGAACCTCCTCCCCCTCTCCTGTTTTTGTGCTTCCTTTCTGAGCTCTTGGGTTAGAGCTGACCTGCATGCTGAAAGCATTTAGTAAGTAATACTTTCTCATCACCCCCATCTTTGCTCCAGATCCCCCTTCTCCATGCAGCCCCGTGATGTAGATCTCCCTGCTTTGGGATGCACTGTTATCAGGGTCGCAGTCCCATTTGTTTCCTAGGCTGATCCCTTCTGAAGACACATTGCTTGTAGAAGGATGGAGGGGGCTACGCTGAGCTGTTCAGTTCAACATCCGCGTTCAGCTTTTTTAGGGCTGGCATAAAACGTGCCATAACCGTGCTGTGCTGGGTGTACAGAAATCAGAAAATTGCTCTCTGCAAAGAGCTGATGGCTCAGGAGCTGGTGTTTGGTAACGGGACTTGGCTGTGCCGTGGCTCCCTGCCCCTCGTCTGGGTATGAGAGCACGCAGGGCTTGAGATCAGTGGGTGGAAGTGCTTACAAGCACCAAATCAAAGCAGTTCTAGTGGTTTTATGTGTCAAGAATACAAACTACCTCATCGTCATCATGTGTACGGCTGTTTCTCTCCTCTCTTCACCCTTGACTGGAACAGATTCTTCAGCTGTGTATTGGAAACCATGACCTCTTCATGAGGAGGAGAAAGGCAGACTCGTTGGAGGTCCAGCAGATGAAGGCACAGGCCAGGGAGGAGAAAGCCAGGAAGCAGGTGAGAGACATCTCATATCGCTAGACCGCGAGCCAAAATCAGAAATGCAAATGATCTCGGGAAGGAACAGTCTCCAGAATGACATCAAGCACATGGAGCAGCTTTGAGGGATGGGCCAGCTAACATCTCTCTTTAGTAGCCTGCTCCCACCTCGCCAGTCGTTCTCAGCTTGGCTCTGCGGGTTGATGGCAGCCTGAGTCCAGCCCCCGCACTCGGGAACAGGACTGGGAGGACGGGAGAGAAGAGCTGATCTGGGTGTCCCACAAGTGTGCGTGCATCTCCCCTCCCGCCGCTTATGTCTTGGCTCCGTAGCTGGGAAGGTGTAGTATGCTGGGGTAGTTGCTTGTAATTAAAGCAGGGGCTGTGAGGGGGAGCTGTGCTTTGCCATAGTTCTTCCCCTCGTTTTCTAATTACGTGGTGATGGAATGCACGCCGATGTTTTGGGGCGTGCAGCCTGCATGCTAATTCGGTGCTGGCCTCCTTTATCTGCCGCAGGTCAGCCCAGGCGGCGAAAACTGCTCTTTGGAGGCAGCAGTGTGTAGCCGATGAGCATATATCAGCAAATTGGATTGTATGAATCATTGTTTTCTGCTCGTAGACCTTTTCTACTCACTGAAACCTGCACAGCTAATCTGCGTACTGCTGCTTGGAATATAAATGTCCCTTTCGCAATAAAGCCGCTAGATAGCAGCAGAAGAAACCAGAGCTGTCACTTACCCCCAGGAGAGCCCTATGCTCAAGGGACTGTGGAGTTAATGGCTTTGAGCATGTCCACAGAGGTGCCTGCGTGGTGCTGGACTCGGTGTTAAGGTGCTCGGCTGAGCTGGAGGTGCGAGGTGGCTTCTCTTGCAGGCACCTCCTGAAGCACTTCTCCTTCCCGTAGCTTCTGGGGTGGCAGGAGAGGACGGGACATGAGTTGCTACAAGAGTAACTGGGCCAGCCCCTCTGGGGAAGAGGGTCATTTCACTTCCCACAGGGATTCTCTGTCAGTAAGGAGTTGGCGTTAGTGGAGCAAAAGGTCCTCTTTAGAAGGAGCAGCTTGGTGTCCAAGCGCTTCAGGGACAGGTTTTACGGTCTTGTGGCTTTTTGATGCGTTTGGGTAAGACCAGGAGGAGCTGAGGTGTTGTGCTTAGTTGGGCGGCTGGAAGAGGTGAGGGAGGCGACCCACCAGCCATGAGCAGGTGTTCATCCCTTCCCAGGAGCTCTCAGATTCAGGCACTTGTGCTCTACAGGAAAGGTCAGGCTTCTGCTTGGGTTGGCTGCCCTTTCCCGAGCTAGCCACCGTGCCCCGCTCCCTCCTCCCTCCCCAGGATCCACCGTTGTGAACTGATTCCAGACAGTCCTTTTATATCGGGAATTCTCATTAATGGAAGTCCTGAGTGGGATGCAGATCGTAATGATAATTAATGAGGGGAACCTTTAATAGAAGGAAGCAGAGCCGTTAGAGCAGTGGGCGTCCGGCTTTCAGAACACAGTTGGTGTCCAAGGAGCGGAGAAATGTGTCTCGTCACACTCCCTTCCCTTATTAAACCCAGCAGGTGGCCTGTGCAGTGCTGCCAGCCCTTGCTGGAGCACCGATATTTGTAATGCGCTCGGCTCTGGTGTACTGGAGTGCTTAAAGGTGGTGTGTGCGTTAGCCCGATGGTTCCCGTTGGGCGCTGGGCTAGCGGAGAGGCAGTTGTCGGGCACGCTCAGGCTGCACAGCACTCTCGGCATCTTCTGGGAAGAGGTGGCAGGGTTCTGGGGGGCTGTCTTAGCGTGGCTGGGATCTCCCCTCTGGGAGAAGCATTGCTGTTGCCTGCAGACCCAGCTGGAGGGAGAGTTTGTTGCAGGAGTTGGTAGGGGGGGTTGTGCTCTTTGTGACCTCCATGGGAAATGAGCGGAAGTGATATTTCCAGCATGCTGGGTTGGCTGTCTGATCAAAGTAACACCTATCCACGTCCTTCAAACTCCTGCCTTGCCATGTGTCTCTATTTGGTAGTTTGAAGATGCCCTCACGCTGCCCTTAAGCCCAGTCTTGCTGTCCCTTCAACTTGCCTTAGGTGTACCTGGAGCTCTTGGGACCCTACTTGTCGGAGTCAGCGTAGGAGGGTACTGTGTGGGGACGTAATCGCCTGCAAGCAGCTTGTGGGGCAGCGCCGTGGGTAACAGACTGGCCAGAGGACAGGGGGTTGTCTCGGAAATGGCACTTTTCAAGAAAGCAGGGTGTGTCGGGTCACACCTGTTGGGTGAAGCTGCCTGTGGGGATGAGCAGATAGGAGGCAGTGGTGCAGTCCTGTGCTCTAACCCCCACGGGGGTGCCTATTCTCCTGTGGAAAACCTTTCTAATGTGTTATTTCTCCTCGCTTTCCTCAATCCCTTTTTTCCTTAGATGGAACGGCAGCGCCTGGCCCGAGAGAAGCAAATGAGAGAAGAGGCTGAGAGGACAAGGGATGAGCTGGAGAGAAGGCTGATGCAGTTAAAGGAAGAGGCAACGATGGCCAACGAGGCTCTGGTAGGTCTGTGGGAGGCTGTTTCCCGAGGCAGTTGTCTTTCCACTGCTGAAGCATTTTAGGAGGCACAGTGCTTGTCCTGTGGCCGTTCTCATACGGCTGCCGGCAGACGGGGATTGGGAGGCTGGATGGAACACATTTCATCCCGCTAGCCTGCTGTGGCAGGAGCACAAAGGAGGCGGATTTGGGATGGAGCCTGGACACATCCAGGTCTTGGCTGCACGAGGCTGCAGGCTGTGACGGAAGGGAGGGATGCTAGGTGCCATGGTGGCCGTGTGCAGCGAGCCGCTCGGAGCCCTGCTCCGGGGACTGTAGGCACATTTGGGGAGGCATTTGGAATGCCTAATGGCTTAATGTGCCTTATTTCTCAGATGAGGTCTGAAGAGACAGCAGACTTGCTGGCTGAGAAGGCTCAGATCACGGAGGAGGAGGCCAAGCTCCTGGCTCAGAAGGCAGCTGAGGCTGAACAAGAGATGCAGCGGATCAAAGCCACGGCCATCCGGACAGAGGAGGAGAAGCGGCTGATGGAACAGAAGGTGCTAGAGGCAGAGATGTTGGCACTGAAAATGGCGGAGGAGTCGGAGAGGAGGTCAGAGGGTACAACCTTGCAGCTGCCTCTGCTTTGCTTTCCAACCCCCTTTGGACTTAGCTGAGAGGGTGGCTCGTGCCTTGGGTTAGTCTATCCATGCAGCGAGCCCTTGGCCTCCATGCATGTACAACAGCAAATGTCACCAGGGCTCAGCTGGCTTCTCTCCAGGTCGCGATTTGCTACAGCTGGGCTGTCCGTGCATAGGAAACCTTGCTGGTAGAGCAGTGGTGGCTCCAGTCTTTTCCTGGATTGGAGCCAGAGGCCCTTTTCTGAAGCTTTCTTTGGGAGAGATAGTGGGGTGAAAGCAGCAGGGAAAGGGGCCATCAGCTAGCAGGGGAGCAAGTACCGGGGTCCTTGGCACTCTGCCTTCCACACTTCTCGCCCTGGCAGCAGCAGCGGAAGGCAGCTCTACTTCTGGGTGATTTCTGCAAACACCCACTGCATTCCTCAAAGTGTTTGACAACATTAATAACACTTGTTTGGTTTTTTTCTTGTGGGTGGTAGATCTAAGTTCTATTCCTCTATTTGCCTCTCAGTTGTTTAGTTCTCCTTACCAGTTGTGAGGTCTCTGGTCCACGTTAGCCTTGAGGTCTCCCTAGCTCCTGCAGTCCTTGCTTTGTTTTAAAACCAGTGTTTCCCTCCTCTTGATACCAGAGCCCAGGTCCTATGGGGCATTTGGTAGTGAGCACGTAAAAGATCATTCTTGTTTCCTTCCAACTGATTACTCCTTTCTGTGTGAGACCCTGCTCAGTGTCAGCCCTTCTGCTTGGATGAAAGCTGCCCTCGTCTCTCTCTTCTTGCCTTGTCTTGTGAAGTCTCCACTCAAATTCCAATCCAGGGGAGAAAGCTTCCTTCCTTCCTTTGGTTTTCTCCCTGTGGGATGTCCTTGAGGCTCCAGGGTAAATCCTGGTTCTAGAGTTGTGGGCCCTGTGAGGAGGCAAAGCTGTGCAATCCTGGGTACCTTTTCCTTTTGAACGAGGTAAATGATTGTTAGTAGAGCCTTACTTGTCAGAAAACTGCCTCTCCTGCTCTAAGTCTGAGCTTAACTCTTGAAGTTGTTCTCCCTGTTCTGGCCTCTTGGCACGCTTCTCCAGCCCTTAGGCGTGCTCACTGATGCTCACGCAGAGTCCATGTCAGAGCTGCTCTTCTACGGCTTGGGTTTTTGTGCTCATTAAAACATCCCGCCTGTCAGAGGTTCTGGCTCAAATGATTTCTTAGTTTAGGTGTTGTGGGACAAATCTCGACCTATTCTGCACCTACACTGTAATCCTGCTTCTCATTCCTCTCAACTTCAATCTGATACTTACAATTTGCTGTTTTTCTTTGTAGGGCGAAGGAGGCTGATCAGTTGAAGCAAGACCTTCAGGAAGCTCGCGAGTCTGAGCGGAGAGCAAAGCAGAAGCTTTTGGAGATCACCAGCAAGTCGTCCTACACAGTAAGAGCCATCTTTGTTGTCGTCCCCAGTTCCCAGCCCATAAACGTGCCCTCCTCTGGATCATCTCCATCTTGTTGGCAGAGGGGAATGAGTGGTCTCATTGCTTGGCAGCTATTTGGAAACCCTCCACAGTGCTGGCCCTTTTCATCCAGGCACCCCGTCCAGCAGATCACTTTGCTCTTTTTTTTTTTCCCTCCGCCTGCCCTGCCTCGTGCTGCCAGTGCAAGGGAGCTGCTGGTGCAATTAAGGGCAGCCAATTTGTAACTAGTTTAACAACCGTGTCAGAGCCACGCTTTGCTAGCACGTGTGGAGTGTACCAGTGCAGTAATAGCTTTTAAAATAGGGTTAAATACTTAGGAAATGGAGATGTCTTTATTCTTGCTAGGTGGGATAAACCTTGTTCAAGACCTGCAAATTCATTCTCTGGGCATAAACCGGCCACTGTGCAGCTATGGGCTGGAAAACAAACTTCCTTGAAGGGAGATTATTCCATAATTGCCCATTAAGAGGATTTCACACCTTCCTCTGAAGCATCTGGTCCCGGTTGCTGCTGGGGACTGAAACGCCAGACTAAATGACCATTGCTCCGATCTGTCTGGCAGTTCCTTTCCTCAACTTCTCTGGTTGTGCTGCAGGGCCTGCAAACCCCATCAAGCGCTCCGCTCCCGCAGCTCGCACCTGCCACGGCCGCCGGTTCGGCTGCCTTGCTGTCCTGCGGGGCGAAGGGGGAAGAGCTTGGCAGCTTCAGGAATGGGCTCGACAGACATGCGTGGCAGTCACCAGGCTGCCTAGTACTGAAGTTTTAATTGTACCTGCAGGCTCCTTCCCCGCTCCTCTGGAAACTTTTGAGGAGCAGATTGAAAAGGGTTTGAGATGAAGTAACTTTTCATCCCGATTCTCTTAAGTTCCCTGCAAAAATGTGCAGAAGCTTTGAAAAATGGCAGTGATGGGAAACAGTTGGGTGCTATTAGCCAGTGGACACTCCCATCAAGTGTCAGACTACCTCAGTGCTTTATAAAGCTTCGCTTTGGAGCGCTCCTTATTTTATAAGTCGCTAGGTTTCTGGAATCCACCAGTTCTGGGTTTAACTGCACAGGCTGGAGTGTCCTCACCTGAGACTCTACTGCATGGCTCCATCAGCCCAACTGTGACATTTGGATGGCACTCACATGTCCCCGTTCCCTTGTGTTGCTGTGTCCATCCTGAGCGAAATGGGCAGAGCCCAGCTAGTGAGCCCTTCTGTGTAAATCCCCGTGCCCGTGCTGGTGAGCATCCTGCCTCCTTAGTGGGAATGTTGTAGGGTTGCTTGGGGCTGAGTTCCACCTCTCCAGCTGCATCTGCCTGGAGGCAATCCACATGGAACTGTCTCATCCAGGCACATGGGGCTGTGTCCTCGCCCTCCCTAACGAGCCTTGGCCTTCCCGACGTGGCTGATGGCGCCGGGAGGGAAGGGGCCATGCTTTTCTCCTCCCCAGTTAGGTGCCCGAGGCCCTCCTGCAGCCGCCGCTCCTCCTGCCCCTCTCACAGCCCCGGGAGGACAGCCGTGTCACACAGACACGACAGCAGTTGTTTTCCAAGGTCAGGAGGATGCGGGTACGACTGTTGTGCCCACATCCAGGTGACAGCACCTTGCTGAGCCTTCCACCCTCCGTTACGCCTGCCTCGCTTCTCCCTTCCCCTGTGGCCTCTCTCATCGCTCTGCTGTCTGCGTGTTTGGGGGCAGACGAGTGAGATGCGCTGAGATCTTCCTGTGCACCGCTTCAAAGAGCTGGATTCAGGCGAGCCTCCCTCCCCTGCCAGCGCCGGAGGGACCCAGCAGGCGAGCGCAGCCCAAGGGAGGGAGGAAGCCCAGGGTGGCCTGAGGGATGAAGTGGTTTTGAAAGCTGCTGCTGGGAGGCTCATGTCCCTCGGGTGAATGGCAGCTCGATGAACAGTGCAAGATTCCAGCTCCGCTCATCCTTAATGAGGGTGTAACGCTGAGCTTGGTCTTTCCTGTGGTGCCAGGGCTTGTGCTGTGTCGTCCCCTGACACCGAGAGCTAGACAGGACTTCCCTCTGTGGGGGAGCAAGAGCAGGAGAGGAAAGGAGGAGTGGATGGATGTGTCGCAGAAAGGCAAGAAACAGTTAAATTTTTTTTTTTTTTGGTAACTTTCCAGCCTCTCCCATCCTGGTTCTTTAAAGCTTGTTTTGGTGTCTTTTTAGTCCTTGAAGCCTGAGCCGCGTTTGTGATGGGACTGGTAGGTGATGCATAAGAAAGGAGAGGTGAATCTGAGTCTGAGCCGCTGTCAGGGCTGGGAGGACAATTCATTCTTTACTGAGTTGGCTCTTTGCCTCCTTCGCTGCCCTTCAGGTACCACTCATGGCAAGACGAAAGGCAGCCATCTCTTCTCTGATCCTCTTGAAGTAGTAAGAGCTGTCTTAGACTTGCCCAGATTCTTGAGCAGTGAAGTGAAGGCAGTGGCAGCAACAGGAGGAGCTCTCCCTGCGGGGGAAGCCTCATGTCGTGACTGCTTCTCTGCTTCCTCTGCATCCTCTGTCTCGCCTGCTCTGTGCTCCAGAGGGATGACCGCTGTCAGCGTGGCGCTTGCCTCTATTAACGGCAGGAATTGCTTTAATGCAGCAACAGGGTTATGCAGTTCATTCCAGGTGAGGAAACAGATCAGGGAAAAGGTCTGGGTCCCCTTTGTCACCGCGTGTCCCAGTGATGCCCCACTGGGTGTTTTTAACCCGTGGGTTAAAAATCTCAGCACCTTGTGCAGGACTTGCTTAGGATTATTGCAAATGGCAGGGAAGTGCTTTGCTCCAGGTACTAAGTCAGTGCCTTTGAAAGCCCTCAGCATGCTCTTTCTTTGCTCTTTCCTTACTGCCCTCTGACTTCTCCACCCATTTATTCGTTGCTCCGTGCCAGAGCGGTGCTGAGGGCAGGTGAGGAAGGGGCTGTAGTAACCCCTCGGATATCGGCATCTGGGCTTAATGTTTGC